AGAGCACACGTGTACTGACACGGACGTGTGCCACCCCGGCCAGCGGTGCAAGCCCGTTGAGTCTGGTGAAGTGAGCCTTGCCGAGCGAGCCAACAGTCTCGGCATTCGGCACGAGACTTTCAGCGATGTACGGCGGCGGATGCACAACACGAACCACGACATCGCCCCCAAGATCGCTGCGAGTGAGGGATGCTACGTGTACAACGAGCGCAAGACACGGAGTGACGTGACGAATCCCGAGGTTATGGCTCTCGCCAGGGCTTTCTGGCACTCCGACGACGTTTCCCGTGCAACAGGAAACTCAGGCAAGTTGCTGCGTTGCGTTGCTGTTACCGTAGTCTCGGTTGTATGTGGCAGTTGTGTATTATGTTGCTAAGGTCTACCGCTAAGTTTGTTGTACTACACGGCTACACGGTGCTGTGAACTGCAATACACCCGTTCGTTTGTCCACATTACAAATGTGACGGAGTCTCCTAGATACAAGAGCATTTTTTTTCGCTCCCTGCAGGAGCTAGGGACATGTACAAGGAGTCTAAGAAGAGAGACGCACCCTCTCACCCTCGGAGACAGCTCATGCACAAGGGAGACAGTGTGGGGAGGATGTTCTTCGACACAAGGAAGTTTGGCCCCGAGGAAATTCCTCGCCCACCGATAGATCTGACGGGGATCCCTGGAAGTTCCAAGCTGTACTTTTTCACGGGAACAGAGGAGGAGCAGGAGGAGGTGCAGGATACCTATAGTCTTGTGTGGGCTAGTAGTGTGGGGATGCAGACAGACGATTTTGTGGTGGGAGCGGCCGGAGACAAGGTGTTGACGGCTAGGAAGTGGGAGGTAGACGGGTCCAGGGCGAGGAAATGGGCCGCCCCCAAGAAGTTCACCAGATCGTGGAAGTTGCGGGTTCGGGGCGCATCGTGCTACTGCTCGACTTGCCGAATAGGCTGCTAAGATGACTGCATGGTAGCGAAGGTGTACCCCGACTTGGTTGGCGAGGTGATGGAGAAGTCGGGAAAAGAGATGGTTGGGAGACGTACGCTTGGGACTCAATTGACCGGCGTTATTCTTCCGGTTATATCTTCGGACGAGTCCCCAGTGGCGCCTACGCTTGACGAGAGCATGCGGGAGGTGGGGGGGGGAGGGGAGAAGGAAGAGAAGGGAGAGGAGGAGGACGAGAAGGGGGAGGAGGAGGAGGAGGAAGAGGAGGAGGAGGGGGAGGAGGAGGGGGAGCGGGAGGAAGCGCAATACGTAAGCTCAAGAGGTCGCGTAAGTATCGCGAAGAGGAGGTTCCCGGAGGTGGGCTAGGGATGGATGGATGTGTTGGCTGCCAACCACAAGAATGGAACTCGTCGACGTTTGTTTTTCTTCTTGCTTTTTCTGGTGTTGTGTCGAACGCAACGTTTGCAAGTATTATGCGCTACCCTTTACTTTTGGTAGTAGTAATATGGGAAAATTCCCGTTTTGTACCCGGGGGGGGGACACAAATTTCGTGTCCCCTGGTGGGAAGTGGCCAGTAAAATGTGCAAAAACTGTAGGGTTTGTTCTACCGGAACAGTGGTCTAAAAAGCGCATAAAATGGGCAAGATATGGGGAAATCCCCGTTTTGTCCCCGGGGGGGGGACATAAAGTTCGTGTCCCCTGGTCGGAAGTGGCCAGCAAAGTTTGCAAAAATTCAAGGGTTTGTTCTACCGGAACAGCGGTAAAAAAAGCGCTTAAAATGGGCAAGAGGTGGGCAGATCCCTGTTTTGTCCCCGGGGGGGGACAGAAAGTTCGTGTCCCCTGATTTGCGTTTCCCTATACATTGAGTAAGACAACTCACCAAGTTTCGCTGAAAACCCACCTTCCCGACCCCGGATTTAAAATCTGAGACCGAATATCGCATCTACCCACCGAGAGCAACCCACAACTGAATTTTCAGAGCTTAGGTGGTTTGGCAACATTATCAATCTCAACCCCTCCCCGGCAATACCGGAAGGCGCCCAAGGAAAGCCTCTCCCATTGTGCGCAAAAGCTTGGCCCGACGTTCGGCGCTGAGTTGGTGGCCCTCGGAGTCGAGGGGGGCGATGGCGCTGTCGAGGACGTGTCCGTGAAGGCGGAGTACAGCGCGACCCAGGACGACGTGAAGGGCGTACACTTTCTCGATAACCTCGTGCTTGACGTGCCTGATGAGAGCGTTGCCCCTCAGAGCGTACGCGTTCTTGCACGAAGGTAAAATGTCCATTACCTTACTGCCGTGGACGAAGGTGTCGGACGCTTTGATTGCCATCCTGTCCTTTTTCCTGATATGTGAGATTTGCTACCATTGAGTCGAGAGCTTGTGACATGATTGATTAGGAGAAGGAGTGAGGATTGATTTAGAGGGGGGCAACACCATTTGTTTTCATTCTTTTGATCTGTTTTTTTGTAATTTCTAGCAATCCGATTCTGTGGATTTTTAACGTCGGCGTTTTCATTTCAGTGTTGAATTTCAGAACGATATCGGTGAAGAAGTCCCCTGGGTGGCAACACTGAAATCACATGAATTCGTGCCATTATTGAAGTCCTATTAGGAAGTCGCGTCGTATGGATGCGGAACTTCAAGGCGGAGTCAACTCGGATGTCGTGTCTAATTTTTGAGGAACTCAAAGGTGAAGTCACATCGGAACCCAAACAAGTACTACACTTCCAGGTTGGCACGAATACGGCGGAAGTGTCATTTTTGAAGTCAAATCCGAACTTCACGGTGATGTCCCCTCGCAGGTTAGAGAAGTTGTTTCTTCCGGGTTGGCAATAGAAGTCAGTGAAGACCTCGGTGTGAAATGTCTTGACCTCAGCCAAGACATCGTGGTCAAAGTATGTATTGACCTCAGAGCAAACGTTGAAATATTTTGAACTCTTGAATTAGAGGAAAAGACAGAGTCACGCGACAAAAACTGCGCCTGAAGCGGCGTCGTGTGACTCATATCCAAAAAAACTCTCGAAACATCACAAACATCGAAAACCTAAGGAAAAACTGCGCCTGGCTCCGCGCCCTACTTTGATGCTACTTGAGACGATCACAAACATCGAAGACCTAAGGAAAAACTGAGCTTGGCTCCGCGCCCTACTTGAGATGGTACTTGAGACGCTACTTGACATGCAAATCAACCTCTATGTTCACCCCAAAACATTCCACTACAGGGAACAACTACTTCTCCTGCATCCGACTCCTTCTTTGAATCACCGCGAGCTTGGTTTTGCAGCCCCTGAACCGCCTTGAAATGACATTCCAGGCAGTACTCCGGCCTGAAACCAAGCATCGGCTCACCTCTACCGCCGAAGTTGGCTTACCATGAACGGACTTCACCCTGAAGCAGCTCAAACTAAGGGGCCAATACATGCACACGCAGTCACTATTTCTCCCCCCTTCAATTGTGCCCCGAACACTGACATGAAGTCTAAGAGCACCGCAGCGGGGTAGTGAGGGTGTCCTCGGTACTGACGAATAGCAGCTTGCGAAGACTGACCGTCTGTGCGGTGGCGTGGATCATTCTCGGCATTTACGCGCTCTAGATCTGCTGCCATCCTTTTGACAGTGTTGTACGTCAGAAATCCACCTTCATACGGTGCGTGATCCACCATGACCCTCTTGTACCCCCGAAGAAGTTCGTGATCACAGTGAAACGCGAGTGTGTCGTAAAACACTACGAACCCCGGTGAAAGGTTGGTGGATTTCGGCGGGCAGATTGTTTCTCCCTCCAAGTAAAATGAGACTGCAGTCACTGGCTTCTCCCCACTTGACCAAGTTACCTCATCTCCAAAATTCTCCCCAAAGTCTACCATAAAGTCCAAGAGCACAGCCTCCTTGTACGCAAGCTTCCGAGCGGGGTCAACAGAAGTACGGTCCTCCTCGTCACGTTCCCCTTCCTCCGTAGACATCAGAGCAACCATCTTGTCAATGGTGACATCGTTCAACACACAGCCATAGCTACCCCCGACCATCACTTCTATTATCGCCCCCTCACTGCAGCATCGTTCAACACACAGCCATAGCTACCCCCGACCATCACTTCTATTATCGCCCCCTCACTGCAGCATTCGCGAAGCAAGTCGTGGTCACTGTAGATAATTTCGTCAGTGCAACGAAGCGTGAAATTCAACAACGAAGACCTGTACAAAACAAAGCCAAACTCTTCCTCTATAGAAGATGATCCTTTCTTGGTCTTCGAGAAGGTTCCCCTGGCGGACTTGACGACCTTCTGGGTTGGGCTTAGCCATGATGAGGAAAGAGGAGAAAGGTGTTGGGGTGTGGAGAGATGTCGGGAGAGATGGGGAGCGAACGAAGGGGGCGGGGGCGAGGTCAATCTTTTTTTGTTCTTTATGACTGTTTTTCTTTCAATTTTTAATTTAATATTCCAATTCTGTGGATATGTATACAAGAATCTTTGCATTTCCGGAATAACTCCGAAAAAACATCCAACCAGCTTCCAGCTTCAACTACCAATATCAACCACTGATCGAGTTGAACCTCCGAGTCGAACCTCACCTTTATGACGACTTCCACGTCCAAACCTCCTCGAACTTGATCAAAGCCGCTGTAACATCGTCCGGGGTCTTGTACATGTCATAGAAGCTCGGAAATTCCTTCTCAACGTGCTTCTTGACCTCGGGGTCGAAAGCAACTTCTTCGCTGCAGCTCCTTCGGCGAAGCAAATCCTCCAGGGCACTCATGTTTCCAGTGTTCCCCATGTCTCCCTGAAACAATTGCTTCTCGACAAAGTCCATGACGGGGGCCGACTTCCCCGACTTCTCCCTCGGGGTTTGATGAGACTTCGTCCTAGCCTTCTCATTACGCTTGTTCCTCTCAGAATGGTACAACTTATTGATGCACTGGTTGACGCCCATGAGTACCTTGGGTACCTCTTTCTCATCGGGCAAAACCACGAACGTCTTGGGGCGAGCTCCACCACCTCCTGCGAACCCTCCTCCTCCGCCTGGGAATCCGCTCAAGGCGCCTCCGAAGTTGAAGTTGGCAGCTTGCCCAGGCATCATACGGAGATTTTCCGGAGAACCCTCCAAATCATCGGTTTGATCTTGATCATGCCGTCCAACCTCTTCTGAAAGCGGGTGATCTTGCCCTGGCGTTCGGGGGTAGGCTTGACCCTCTGCTTGAGTTGCAACTTGGCGATCTCTGCCTCGGCATCCGTAGTGTACCTACTCTGGGCGCAAGAAGCCTTCCCTTCGATCCGGTAGTGGTTCGGGATGAAGAACTCCGGGATGGCGATTACCTGTTGTAGGAACAACACGAACTTGCGCTGAGCTGCCTCCACAGTTGTCACCAGTTGCCCTCCCACGGCGTGTTGTAGGACGAAGAGAACCGACACAGCCAAGCTTCGTCCACCAACTTCGATCATGGCGCGATCGTGCTTCGTGTTCACCACCTTCCCCTTGGAACTCCCCACAAGGATCTCCGTGCGTTCCCTCACACCGAGCTCGACCGCGTCGTACGGGAAGGTCTTCATGAACACGTCGAGAGTCTTCTTCTCGTTGAACTTCTCGGGGTCAAAGAAAACGTCGACGCCTTCTTTCACCGGAACCTTCGTGGAGTCGTCGGTCAGAACTGCGTCAAGAACGTCACACGCGTCTCGAAGTGTGATGTCTCCCATGTTCTTCGGCGCCTGATTGCCTGCAGCTTCTGCCTTGAACTTTGCCGCCGCCTCCTTCTTCCCCACCGGGGCACGCTTGAACATAGGATCATAAAAATCGTGGCGGTCACGCCCAATTTCTTGAATGATCTATACCATTTTCGGTTGAGATATCACGTCATTCTCGCAAAATTTCACACCAATCTCTTCAACAACGTGTGTTACTGAAACCGCAGATTTCAGGTGCATAATGATTTCCTCGACGAGGAAGCCTCGCTGCAGCTGACAGCGCAACATATACCATTAGGCAACACCACCCCGCGGTATCATGCTTTTGATGCGATGCCAACCAGAGAGGCATGCGCGTCGGAGTCGGGGCCCGGTATCACACTGGGACTTGGGACACCGAAAACCCTGACTATGGAACCATTTTCAAGGTCAACGTGGATGACGACCTCGAACGCTCCTTCGTGCGATGTGGTAATGGGTTGAAGCTGTGACATGCAAACGATGCCTGCTCTGGTCTCGTCCACGCAGACGTAGCGCAGGCCAGATCGACTACGGCCCGTCAACAACCACCAATCCGACAAGAGGAGAGGGTAGGCAGGGGGCAAAATCGAGGGGGACGCACAATGAATCGTAAGGAAAACTATGTACGTCATCTCCAGCGATAGTTCCCGCGCCAGGTGCAGTCGCCGCGGTGCCCCCGCCTTCTGCTCCCGAAACGCCACCAAACTGGATTCTCGCGCGCTGCCCTTCATTCTCGTCCTGTAGCTTCTCCAGGGGTGGCTGCCCCCGGTTCGGCCATGCTTTACGTCGGCCTTCTTGCCGTACGAGCTCCAGAAGAAGTTCGTGATCACACACACACACGATACACCATGCGGTCGTTCCGAAATTGGCACGGCTCCCAACATAATACCACCCACGCTGCCGTTCCGGAAGTGATGCGGCCCTTCACACAAGTTGTTAGCTATAGCACGTCTCGGAAGTACCACGTCTCGCAGCAATATATCATACGCTAATACCTGCTGCCCTCAACCAAATACGATCGGTCGTGTTTGGAGGCGGGCAGCTTGCTGCCAGAAGCGCAGAGCGATATGGTTGACTAAGATCTTGTACCATTAACGAGTGCGCAGGGCATGCGTGCCCATGCACGCAGAAGGGGCCTTTCTCCAAACATGTATCGCCATGATACACGAAACCTACATCTCCACCTCCGTAGATCCGTGTCGAGTGCCGAGTGCCCCCAAACAACGTTCTATCTGAAAGGAAAATCATCTGTTCCGGGCATCAAATCTCTGGGTTATTTAGAGGCTTGTAACGCAGGTTGACATGTAGAGACGGGCAAGCTGTCATGAACAGTCTATTTCCGCATCTTATCGCGCCCTAGATCCTGTTTTTCCGCCGAAAACAATGAATGCATCGAAATCAACGTCAACGACCTGTGTCACCGAACTCGGGGGCAAAATAAAGATGGCTTTCTAGGACGAGGCAAAGGTCGCTCTTGCTCACGGAATGTCCCCTGCTTTGTTAGATGTTCGTAGCCTACAATGGAGAACTGTATTTTTGTCCACGGAAAACCGCCAGCATCCACACCCACAGCGCACAGCGTCGACGCAGCATTTGTCGCACGTGCCTGAATGTGGAGGTGGTTCACTGAGGCCGACGAGCCCGCGCTGTTGAAGCCGAGTCGTAACCCAGGGTCCACCCTCAGCGCATCGGCAAAGTCTGTGGCCACTGCCAAAGAATACGCGGTGGTACGCTGTGGGGGTACCTGTGGTGAACGGGTAGAAAAATGAGTTGAACATACCTTGCGGGAGGTCTCAGGAAGATTACGGCCCGATCGGTCTGTGGACCGCGCTCCAAGTTCACCACGAAGTTCGCAACAAACACGCATATACAGTACGTCAATTTGTGCAAAGGCTAAACGTAAACGGTCGTTCTCCTCACAAAAACAACGTCAGCCGCGCCTTGTTCACCCGACTCTCCTTCCTTCAGCGACCACAACCCGCTATGAGTCTGTTGTGTCGTTCGCAAAACAATCCGGCCCATGGCGGCACGCGGGAAAGTATCAGCACCACGAAGGCATACATGAAATCTATCAAGTTGTCGAACGGAAGTCAGAGCAGTTGTTGCCGGATTTTCTTTTTCTTTTGGCCTTTTCCGGCACCGTCGCCACGAAAGCCCGCCACCGTCACGTAAGAAGGCACCTCCATAATTAACTCGTCCTCGCTGAAGAAACGGAGAGAAACGACGTTGTATGGCGTTCTGGGTAGGGGAAATAGCGTTGGAAAACTAATGTAGGTCCGTAGTAGTCAGGCTCTTTTCCGATGTCGGGCCTTTGCCCCTATCGTCCCCGGGCAAGCAGTGTGGCCCACTCACACCCACCTTGCGCCACCCTGGGTCTACGCGGGCTGCTGAAACATGAAACAAGATCACACAGCACTAATACATCCTACTAGACGCTCTTTGCCAGTTTTCCGCCATTGTTTCGCAGTCTGTGCTGTTTACGAGCGTCACACGACACGGTGACTTGGACGCAGATCTGGTTGAACTCCTAAGTTATTGGGGCGTACCGACGTTTGACGGGAGGCCTTTCGACTTGAAGAAAACAGTGGGCGCACAAGCTGGTGTCGTTGTCGTTCGGCAAAACCCACGAGGTCTGTTGTTCGAGCCTCGGGGGTGGAGAAATTGGCAAATATGAAAGGTCATCTGGGCCGTCTTCAGTCTTTTGCCAAGACGACCTCCACGCGGGGCTTCGCAATTCAACGACATCAATACGTGGTGGCAGGGAGGAAAACAATAGAAGAAACTGATAGCGAGACCGAGAGGAGAGATTTTTGGGGCCTGATGAGCATTGACGGGCGGGACCCTGCTACTACAAGAATTAGCGACCCTCTCTTCTGCAGCTGTAGAGGGCACCACTCGAAGTGTCACTTGCCGTTCGAGCTCTACGGGTTGTGACATCTACCTACAACGAAGTGCCATTCGAGACCGTGTAGTTGTGACCCTATCGTTTGGCCATGGTTCGCAAGGCGTTCTAGTCTATTGCAACCCTCCCCGGGAAGCAACAGAAAAAAATATCCGTCATAACAGCACCGGGGTCAGTGTGTGGCAACCAACATGGCAGGATCGTAGCGAAATACGCCAGGGGAATATTGTGCTTGCCTTTTCGGATGGAGGATGGGCGCAACGGACCCCTTCCCTGCCCCCCACCGTGCGACAACAGGGAGAAGTAAAAAGTGTGTCAACAGATGTATTTGCCTTTCATGATATTATCTCTCGTTCTCAAGTGACGTTCTCAACTCTCGCACATAGCGCACCCGTCCGTCAAGAGAAGGCTCATGGGACCGACAGGAAGGATGTCCACCAATACCACGTCCCGCGGAGGGGACGCCGTCGAGGCTTCCCCGCACCTCACCCCAGGAACAACGCCTTCCGATCTTATCCGCGAAACGACCTCGCCGTCGCGTAGGGTGGCGGAAGTTGTTACCGCCTTGCTTTCCCAACCACTGCTGCTCTTGTTTCTTTCGCTTCTGTTGATCGAGCCGCTTTGGGGTCTGTTTCTACCCACACCACGCCGTTTTCTTCTGCCTGCGTTCTCCGCCCAGCGGCGGTGGCAGCGGTGGCAGAAGCAGATGCTACTGTTTCTCGTTCGTAACGGAAGCTCGGCGTGTAGAAAAGCACGAACTCTATCGGGCTTGCCTTGTCGAAGTTGAACGCGGAGGGGGCCCAGGGAAGCTGCGACGTCACAAGTAGCGAAACAGAGAAATGGTCGCCGTTAAATGAAGCGAAGTCTGTAGTATTCCCTACTTGCAGTCTTGTACACTCGGGACCCTGATTGTTATCACACGGTCAATGCGTGGGTGCTTCGGACAAGAGATGTATTCCGGTGTAGAGTTGATTCATTCTCACTAGCTGACGTGCGCACTACAAGGGAACAAAATTTCGAGTAGCTTCGGCGAGCGACGACAACATTGCAGCGCTAGGTCGGCGGCATCGCTTTGCGGTCCCTGTTTCATGCTGTCCGCTCTGTGTGTGAGGCCGGTGTGAAAATACGGTATGGTGAGTCACGCCCTTCAAAATCAATGAGGCCGTTAAATGTTGAAAGGCACACAGCGGACATCTAGGGCGGCCGCCGCTAATCTCTTCCCCGTCCCGTGTGTACCCAGCCAATCCCAACACCAGCGCCGTGACCGTTGTCCGTCTCGCTACTAACGTAGAAACAGGAGGCATGTTCCCACCCACATCGCAGGCAACATAGGAAGCAGGATATTTTGAACCGTCGTCTCTCGCCCTTACCTCAGCGGGACCATCTGACGGAAAGGGCTTATGCCGCCCTACGCCATCCGGTAGGCGAGCATCACCGCCAGAGGAGAGGTCGAGAGAGGCGTCGCGATTGGCAATTTGGGACGAGACAATTTTGGGTACTCCTGGGTGGTCGCGTGCCACCGCTGCACGAAAATCTTTAGGGTGCACAGATAAATCGTTTTTCAACAGCAATCAACAAGAACAAGACCAAGGTTGGGCTTCTTGCACGTCCACTCTTACACCCCCAAAGTCTTCAGACTTCGGAGGCCACAAGCGAAATGTTATATACCAATGACAATATATGTTGTCGTCGGTTTCGACCAAAACGAACTTGAGATATACTCCACTGGTGTCATCGATCAGTTGTTTCGTAGAGACCATGTACAAAGCAGGATCGGTGCCAGGGCCATGGAAACATAACCAGCAAAACAATCATGCAAACCAGACCTACACAAAAAAAACAACGCAAGGACGACGAACACCCCAGATAGCATATATACCGCGCCACCACTTCTGGGCGCCTGGGAGTTCAGATCTTCAGGCCAAAGAAAGTACAACTCCAAGATCTTGGCCGTAAAACCAAGTGCTCAGTTGAAAATACTACGCAAAATCCTATAAAATCGATATTGAGTTACCCCACCACGGACATAACGAACAAGCCACGGCATAGTACGTGGCGGCGCCTTCTGTATGCGAACAGACCACCACGTGGACATTACCGCAGCAGCGGGTCCACCAAGACAACTCAACCCGACTGATCCGACCAAACAGGTAAGGAGGTTAACAAGTGCTCT